TTTTTTTTTTTTTGGATGGGACCACATCTATCATATATTAAATTCTGCTGATAGATGGCTCTATCTCTGAACTGTTTTTGTCTGTTCTATTGGTCTACTTGTTAACTCTTGAGCCAATATGTTTTTTTTTTCCCTCTTTAATTACTATAGTCTTTAGTATGTCTTACTATCTTGTGGGGCAAGTCCTCATCATAACTTTTCTTTTTGAAGGTTGTCATAGCTATCAATGATACTTTATTATTCTAAATTATAATGTAAGTTTATTGCAATTCTAAAAAAAAGTAATGGATGTTTTAATGGGATTGCATTAAATTTATGAATTTGAGGAGAAATAACATCTTAATAATATTACCTGGGGAGGTTTGAAGATATGTCCACAAAATCTTTGATGCTGCTCAAGAGTTGGAGCCAAATTCCCTTCCCCTTGAGTGTGAGCGGACTTATTTGTAATTAATAGAATCAGGCAGAAGTGATAGTGTGTCACTTCCCACTAGATCATAGAAGGGCACTTTGGCTTCCTGCTTTCTTTCACACAGATTGCTCACTTTCCAGGAAGTTAACTGCCATATCATGAGCAGCGCTTTAGAGGGGCCTAGGGGGTGAAGAACTGAAGCTGCTTGCCAATAGACATGTGACTGGGCCTTCTTTGAAGTGGATCCTCCAGCCCCAATCCACATCCCCACTGTCACTTCACAAGAGAGAGCTAGAATCACTCCCAGAATCTTGACCATCAGAAACTGTGTGAGAGAGTGTGTTGTTTTAAGCCAATTAAGTTTTAGGGTAATTTATCACATAACAGATAATATATTGCCAAAATCTTCCCAGCATGAAATGTCTCTTTTATTCAGATCATTTTCTATTTATGCTATGTTTAATTTTTTTCTTAATAGAAGCCTTCTGTGTTGACTAAATTTGTTCCAACTACTTTATTTTCTTGGTATTTGCTGGTGTAGAGAAATGCTTTTGGTTTTTACAAGTTGATCTTGTTTCTGGAAACCATGCTGAACTATCTTATTATCCCTAATAGTTTTTCTGTTTGTTCTCTAAGGTAGTTCGTCATGTTGTTGTTGTTGTTATGTGCCGTCGAGTTGTCTTCGAGTCATAGTGACCGCTCCTTGGGTTTCCAAGGTGGTATCTCTATGGAAGTAGATTGCTCAATCTTCCTTCGGAGGAGTGGCTTACTAATATGGCAAATTA